ATTGAAGTTGCCAGTGTTCTTGGATATATGTATTTAAAAATCATACTTTAAGCAAATAAACAATATGCTATCTTCTACAGAAGGTTTCTTCCTTTGTATACATTATGACAGAATTGGCTAGTCATAAACTTGCAAACAGTTGTATTTCTATAGTTCTGATAAAATTTTCACTCCTTTCCCCCCTTCAATGAACAAATATTATTCACCACAAACAATGACATCCTCAATGCAAGCTGTCCCCGTGGCTCTCAAACATTAATTTGTGAGTTCCTGATTTCCTCTTTATCTTCATGTCTTATTTCACATGCAAAAACGCTTTGAATAATTTAAATGATCAGAGACATGTGAGCCTTACCCAGAACTGTGAGGATTCTGACTTTGAAAGTAATTGACTATTTCCAGATTAGGATGACAGATTTCAGTTTGCTGAAATGTTACTATCCAACCTCCTTTTCATGTAGCTATGGTGCTAACCAAAATATTAGTACATCAACAACAGTGATGGGAAACTGAAGTCCCAGCATACTTCTAATGAGAGTTGCTACACCAAAAAATTAAAAGAAACAATTAGAAGTGGAAAGAAGAAAGCACAGAAATGTGAACATCTTCAAATTACACAAAAGAAAGTTAAATGAACAGGGTTGCATTCTTCACATTGACTTCAAAGAAATCACAGCCTATCATGACAGAAAATAAAATAGAAAAGAAGCATAAATAGAAAAGAAACAGAAAGGTGGCAACCTAGAAATTATAATAATTATTATTAATTATAATAATTCTCAAACTAAAGACAAAGATTCAGATTTTGTGAAGAAAAATTAAATTGCATGTTCATTGTAAATTATAAAATGTTTAAAATAATACAAAAATGAGGTTTAGGAATATAGCTTAGTAGTAGAGTACATATGTGGTATCCTCAAGACCCTAGTCAATTTCCAATGCTAAAAAACAGCAATAATACTAAAGTGAGAGAAGAATTTAAAGCAAATATTTTTAAGTGGTAGTTTCATCAAAGAAAAACATGGACGTCATTAACACTGATAAATGACCAAAATATATTACTTAAAAATATTTGTTAGAAGTCAGAAATAGTGGTGCATTCCTGTAATCCTAGCACTCTGGAGACTGAAGCAGGAAAATCATAAGTTCAAGTCTAAGTTGGGTTAACTTAGTGATTTGAGGAGTTCCTGTTTCTTTAAACAATCAGACAAACAAACCAAAAACCAAAATCCAAAAACAAACAAAAAAAGACTGGACATGTAGTTCAGTTGGAAGGCCTTGAGTTCAATTCCCAGTACCAAAAACAACAAACAACCTGTTATGCATTGATAGAAAAACAATTCTAGTGAAAGTTTTGTAATATTGTTCCTCTGATGAATTAAATATATTTATATATACACTCATACATGCATAAAATTGTGTGATCATCATACATGTATGCAGTATTTAAAGAATATATATAAAATTTACTTATGGGTTTATATATACATTTACATTAAATGTTTCTATATTAATATGTGTGTATATAATATGTAATTTACTAGGAAAATGCATCTTTTTCCAATAAAAATGAAATATCTACAATACAGTACTTTACCATATACAAAACTGCAAATGAACTTCGAACTGTTTCAAGAAGTAAAAATTGTGCAATTACAAGCTTTTTTCAAAATAAAGGAAATGGATAGTTACAATGAGAAATTTAAATAAACTTTGATGAAAGTGCATAAAAACTAGTAATAAAGATGAGAGATTAGGGTTTAATAGAGGAAATCAACAAATTTTAAAATAAAAGATGAATAAATCCTAGACAAAAAAGTAAAGAATACTAAGATGAAAAATCCATCCATAAATGCAAAATAATTACAAATTCAGAAGTAAAATGCAGGACAAGAAAGATAAATAGAATATACAAAAATAAGCATAAATAGGAAATGGAATTGCTTTGTTAAAGGGAATGAATACAAGCAAGAAGCCGTACGAAAGCAGTGAACGGAAGACCAATTCTTCAATGGTAGGGAAGGAATGAAAGTTAATTAGGAAACTCAAGAGCCTTGAAATGGACAGAGGGTGATGAAACTGTAGGTGATAGAAATGATAGAAATGAGGGCTCATGGGAGACGTTCAAACCAAAGTGCAGACTTCCTTCCGGTAGCGTGGCCAACTGAACAAACACGGATTCCTCTTCCAGCCACAAGCCAGTAGAAATGCTGAACAAAAACAATAGAGCCAAAAACTTTGAAAACTATAGCTGTGCTCGAAATTCAGGAAAGTAAATCTCCAGGTGTTAGGGCACAGGAAACACAGGCAGCTTCTGTGGAGCCTGGTGTTCTAGCCAGGATAACTTCCTGGACAATGAAATCTATCTCTGGGGTGCATCATGCAAAGCAAATGTAGCAGGAAGAGGCAAAGGGAGGTTGTGAACTGGGATACTGCACCCCCAAGTCCTATAGGACTATCAGGCACTTCAGAGTGGAAATGATCCCTTGGAGGGACTGTAATCAAAAGACTTGGCTTCTGCCTCCACAGAAGCATTGGGAGGTGTGGCCTGGCTCTGAGAAATCTCACTTTTCTCTGGGTAAGGACAGATCCACAATGGACTCAGCTAAAGCTATCAGACAGTAGCCTAATGTCTAAGCATCCTCAGATGGATGTCCCAGATCAGGGCCAGGTGGGATGGTTCTAGTGATGCCATATAATCTTGCCTGAATCAATTTCTTTTCACAAATCATTTAAGTGCATCTATGTAATTTTTAAATTTGCATTTTTTTCTTTCCAGATATTTGGGAAAATACAATCAGTGTAGTCCACTGTGTTCTGTCCAAAAGGTATCCAAAAACGTATAGTTACTATTTATGTACAAAATGAAAAATTGAGAATTGCCAAAATTATGAGAATGTTAAAATTATGTTCTCTTACTAAAATTATGTTTTCATAGAATGGTTAATAAGATGTTAATATATGCATTCCCAATGCATAGATTGGAATATTCCAATTTCTGAAAAGATTTATTATGTTAAATTTTATACTACTTGCTAATACATTAAATATAGAAGGAAATAGATCAAAATAATATCAGCGTGTGACTCTATAATGCATGGATTTTATGCTTTTTGTATTTTCCAGAGTATCTAAAATTATATGTTAGTTTGACTAAAAAGAAAAACTAAAATGTATTATGTACAGGTACAAATTCCCTATGATAAATGTGATCACTATGTATATCTAAATTGTACCAATAAACTTAATTTTAAAAATTAACATTGTTTATAAAACAAATGAAGTTCATTTATTTTAGTACTCCATTAATTGAACACTTACATGTGACATGAAAAACAGCCTGTGAGAATAAAACAGTATTATATCGACAATAGATTTTTAATATAGTCAACATTTTTCAATCATATTTTCAATACTATGGTTATCCTGTCTTGGTGGCTTTTTGACTTTCCACAGTTCATTTATTCATGTGAAACTGTGGTCAAAATATTAAATGGAAAGTTCTGGAAATAGACAATTCTTATTATTTAAATTGCAACCTGTTCTAAATAGGATGCTGAAATCTGGTATTATCTTGCTCCATCTTGGCCAAGATACAAACTACCCTTTTGTTCAGCGTATCCACACTGCAGACCCTACCTGCCCATTAGTCACTTAGAGATCATTTTAGTTATCAGATCTACTGTTGGGTCATCACAGTGCTGTGTTTAAGAAATCCTTGTTTTATTTGATAATATCCTCAAAGTATATGCATGAGGACTAGTGATACTGGCAATCTGGACATGCCAAACAGAAGCTCTAAAAGGCTTCTTTTAAGTGAAAATATGAAAGTTCTTGGCTTACTAAGGAAAGAAAATCTCATGATGAGGTCACTAACATCCACAGTAAGAATGAGACATTATATTATTCATGGTTCCAGGAATCTTCTTTTTCCCCCACCCCCTGCTGCCCTGCAGGAATCTTCTTGGAACACAGACACAGATCCCAGGTTAAGAGGGTCCTAATATATTTTCAAGGTGAACAGGGGAAAACAGTAAACCCTAGGGTTCCTGTTTCTACATTCCTATGATCCTTACTATTTGTTTTTTCTATGTAAAGTTTTTCTGAGTAGGCAAAAGTCTTGAAACTGTTTCACTGTGTGCATGTATTCCTGTGTGTGGATGTGTGGTGCCCTTTGTTCATGTGTATTTAATTTCCAACCTGTCTTGTATGCTTTCCTATGTCTAACTATTCTAAAAAGTTCCCTTTCCATATGAAGCCCACTAGATTAAGAAACGTGGTCGATGGCATTTTTCTACTGCTACAAATCACTGATAAGTGAGGAAGCAATTTCCAATCCTTGCGGGACAACAGCAACAACAAAGAGAATATTGCAAATTACATCATTCAATGGATTTTTGAATGAATGAGCTTTTTCTCTAATAGAATCTCTTAGTTGCCTGCATTATAAGGGGAAGAAGCACACATTGAACCACACACACCAAATTAACGGAGAAGCCCATTTTAGTGTTCCTACTGCTTGTATTTTTGCTACTCTGCTCTTTTCTCCTCGCCTCATTTCTTCCCTTTTCTCTTTCTTCGTTTTTAAATGGAATTTCTGGTTCCTTGGTTCCAATCCCCGTTTGTCTCCTACCTGTTTTCCTCTTTAGCTCATCCCCTCATCTCCAGGTGTCTTTTCCACATCTCACAGCAGATTTCAAGGTGTCGAGGTGGGAAGTGATGGGGAGAGACACTGAGAACCTTGGTTTTAGAAGCTTCTCCATTTGAGAGCCTGTGAAATCCTCCCTGGTCTCACATGCTCCAAATTGTTTCAATCTATATTTTCTTTGTCGTTTGTAGTTTTTAAAGTTTCACATCCAATAACCATATTTGTATCCAAAGCACATGGATCTTCAGAGTCTGCTGATCCTACAGATTCAATTTCCATAAATCCCTTAAAAGCATTTGACTAACTTTTCTCATTGTGAAAAATGTCTCTGACAAAAACACAGGGGAAACGATTGTTCTTGACATCACAACAGTTTAATATGTTAACTTGTTCATTAAATTGTGCTTCACATCAATGGATATCCTCAGTTCTACAAACTATCATTTTTTAAAATCGTGATAAAGGTTGATAATGTCACAATACAATCTTCTAGTAACCAAGTTCATACATATTGCACAGGAACAAAAAGAAATACCACTTAGGAGAAATAATTTACTATCTATTGAATAGCTAACTTTACATCTAAAGTGGGGAATCAGATAATGATCCAGATTTTTCTAACATTAATACATTAAAAAAATAATGCAAGCAAAACCCAGAAAGTGCTTCTAGAAAATACACAGAAGAAGGAAAAGTAAAAAGGATCACATGGCTAAAGCAAAAACATGGCAAAGAAATGGGAGACAAACGTGACACTGACTAAATCACACAACGCCTTGCCCTTCAGAGCACTGTTTTTTAATTTCAGCACTTACATTGGGCCCTTTGATGACTTGCCCTCCATGCAGCAGGACCCGGAACTCACAGAGGTTTCACTAGACGTGCTGAAGGATGACAGAGGCAATCTTTTCCATAGACAACTGGGAACACAAGCTCATGATATATCCTGGGTCTGTGTTCTCAGACGAGCATTCAGCCAGGTTTCCCGGAAGTTCAGACTTCTGCATTGCAGATGTTGCTGGTGTTTGAAGCTGGGCCAGTCTTCTGGAAATCTCAGCACTTCTGCAAGGCAGGTTCCTTCTATCAACAAGCAGTGCAGAGGGTCCATATGCAGCCTATTTATGAAGCTACAAAACACACAACCCTCAGATTCCCCCCATGTCACTTGCCCAGAAGAAGGGCTAGTTTCCGGAGTTAGTTCATATGTGTCCTGGTAGATGTGCTGATAGAAGAGCTGGCATTGGCTTACACCCAGGAGATGGGGGACGCGATAGAAGGAAAGCCAAGGGCGCCTTGGAGAAAGAACCATCGTCTGCTCCACAGGTGCCACAAGATGTCCAGGTTCAGCCAGCCCTGATACCCAGCCTGGAGGCTTTCGGTTGGAGTGTTGATAATCAAGGGAGGCAAAATAAGGATGTGAAAAGAAAACCTTAGAGTCACAGCTGTGATCAGATCAGATAGTTCTTAAGTCCAACCCAGCTTCCTCTTTGATTCAGTCCTCCAGCTCAATCAGCCTTCAATCCCTAAAGCCATCCCAGTCCTCTGATCTTGTGTGAAGAGACTCATTCCCTTTCTAGTCTTTTAAATGGCTGAAAGAATTCCAGTCCACATGCTTCTAGCCTGCCCTTGATCTTGTGGGTAGAAACTTTATCTTAGTCATTTTTCTATTTTTCAGCATTGCTTGACACATATTTCATTCATCATCTTTCAATCTTTGAAAGACCTACCTCCCTTTCAGGAGCCCCACTTTCTTCTTTTGGAGCCCCTACTCTCTCTACCCCTGCCTCAGCTTGATACCATTATACATGACCTTCTTCTCGGCAGAGGTCAGGACTGGGAAAAAATGAGATAAGCTCTCTGTGTGAGGATATTAGCTTATGACAGCCTAAAGCACTTTTTCTCTCCAGCAAATGTGCAAAGGAACTCATTTAACACCAAATAAAACCTCTCAGAGCTAAAGCAATAAGTTGCTGTTAAAATACTGGCGAAGAAGTAGAGAAAGGGAGATATTTGATGAGCAGAGGTTCGATTAATCACCCCTAACACTTCTCCAACAGACAACTACTGATTGTAAAGATTCCTAATACTAAGTTTCCCTTGCATGCATAATCCCTCAGCCTTCCTTCCCAGTACTTTTTGGCCAAATTGGGAAGACATCCTGTCACAGGTGTTTGAGTGCCTCCCTGAGTTTGAGCGCTCATCCACCTCCCTTGAAGCATTGCCCACCTCTCGGGTATTTCTCTCGTAGTAAGAGGTCCCCTGGCTGGACACAGAGCTGAGAGTCAGCTCAGCGCTCTCACTGGCTTTTTCTAGGTCACTGCAGTTCTACAAAAAGGTGAGGGAAAGTATAAATCAATAAAGATTTCTATTTCAGCTTTTTGCATCTCCCAATTCCAATTCTATGTGGATCAGCATAAAGGAGTAGGAAAGGCTACGAAATAAAACGGTAGGATTCTGAGCAGCTTCCTTGCTAATAAATTAGAGTCTTTGGGAAATCTTTAACATCTCTGACTCTCCATCCCACACTAGCAAATGAGATAGTGAATAGAGATCTCATGTAGCACACAAGAATGTAATGAAGGCCAAATAAGATACTACATGTAAAAATGTTTTGGAAAACATTATAAAACAAAGTGATGAATATTAGTCATATCTTTTGTATGGCATACGATAAATAAATGACATTGAATACCATTTAGTATATTTTCCACTTTCCTTTTGTATCAGATACCAGTAGTTTTTATCTGTATTAATGTTTACATTTTTTAAAATACTAGAACTCCCACACTTCTCAAGGCACCTGGAAACCAGTAAGACATTTTCTAGCCTTCTCCGCACTTAGATGTGTCTAATATCCTGGTTCCATGACATGAGATATGACTTCAAGAGATATATATAACTTCCCTCTGCTTTCTCTACTTTCTTAAATGCCAATGACAGGAGTTGTAGCAGCCATTTTGATCCATGAGATGGAAACTGTACATTAGAATGAAAGAAAAATAAGAGTGATTCTGAGCTTCTGGTAATTCACATGCTGGAACTATCAGGTCAGTCTGTCCAAGTGAGAAAAAAGTGGTTACCACCATTTCAATTATCTGTTAAGACAGCCAAATAGAAATCTTAGCAATGCACTTAATATTTATGTCTTAATGATCTGTTCTCACCTTCTTGCTAGGCTTATCTGATACGTTTTCCCCCTACTAGTATTATAACCACTCAGATTTTTTAAAATGTTACTTTAGAGGTTTAATAAAATAAGTTTTCATATTTCACATCTTTGACCAAACTATTCTTGACACAATTACCACCTTAGAGAAGAAACACCTCTGCATATTTTTATTAATATATGTTATTTCCTTAACTTTTGGCTAACATTGATTGGTAAGATTATGAACTACTTTCTCCAGTTACCAACAGTACGCTGACAAAAACTAGCAGGAGACAACATAGTGTGTATCTTAGTTATTAATAAAATTTAAACATAAAAGCATGCACACACATGCACAGACACACACACACACACACACACACACACACACATCACATCACATCACATCCCAGTTTGGTTCTTGGTGCTTACACTGGCATGTGTGGCTGGGAACAGCCAAAAGTGGACAGAATGTGAAACTGACTGGGGACAGTTTGATTGACTGGTTGATTGATTTTTCTCTCTTCTTGGTCTTTGGGTCCTAATATACTTGGAGTTGATTTGGTTTGGTAATTTGGGGCTGCAGCCTTAGGCCCAGGTATCTCCTAGCATCCTTTCTCTGAGTGTCGCTCAGCATGCAGGGATGCAGTGAATCTCTGGAGACCACAAAGTGTCCCTATTCCTCCATTTCTATCAATATAGGACTCCTGCAATATGACAAGTGTGCTACTTCAGAGTGGTGTGAGTGGAAAAGCCCATATTGGGTTCCTTAATTTGCTCAGCATTGGCCTCCAGCCAACATGAGGAATTGGTGTCTCATTTGCAAATACTGCTATCTGCTCTCAAGTGGAGCATCATACATCAAGCCTTCCACTGCAAGGTGGTAGAGAGTCTTTTGATATAAATCCTGAGGTGTCTAAGGAACAGTAGGGAGTTAGTAGGGGCTGCCTCCAACTCTCAGCTATGCATGAATTCCTGCCAAAGAGCTAAAATGAATTTAGAAGAAATAATTTGAATACTTTCTAGCTTGTTTTGATTTTCCACATGACAAAACACTGGGTTGTTATTGTGTGTGTGTGTGTGTGTGTGTGTGTGTGTGTGTGTGTGTGAGTATGTGTGAGTGTGTGTGTGAGCCCACGCATGTCCGTGTGCAGTCAGTGGCAAGCAGAAGGATAATTTTCAGCCTTTCTATTCTAGCCAGAACAGAACATTAGAGCATAACAAGGGAATGTGAAGATAGAGAGAGAGCTGCTCATTAATTCTTGCCCAGTGTTCCTTCACTTCCTGCCTTAGGAAGAAATCGCTGCAGAGGGAGAACTCAGGCATTTTGTGAGCCCTGATCACTACCAACTAACCAGTAATATGTTGGCCCTTTGAACTCACTCGTTCTTGTACATGGGTGCAAAAGTACAGCTGCCTAAGAAGTGATCAAACGCGGCTCACTGAGGAGTCAGCAATGTGGAGGGGACTCTTCCAAAGGCAACACAGCTCTGGGTCACTTCCTGCTTGGTGCTATCTTGCTGCTGGCTTGTGCTGCCTACATGGGCCAGAGACAAATACTCGGGGCAATAGCAGCTGATTTCTTGCATGATTGGCGAGGATCAATAGGCAGCATGAGCCCACATCCCATATGGTCAACATAGTGTAGTACAAGCACGCTACAGTCAGCGAGGCCTACCTTACAGTCCAGGAGGAAGCTGCTCATTATGTGTGGGATTCCCTTTTCCCATCTATTAAATTGAGACTAACAATAGTTGCCTTGGTTGCAGGTCTGAGAAGGGCCTCCTTTGGCTCATGACAGAGAAGACCCCCCAAGAATGCCTTCCCTTTTACCACAGGTATAGCCAAGGGCAGGGAGAGGGATTCCACAGCCACATCTCCAGATCTGTATTTGATGAGCACGTGAGTTCCCCTCTGCACAGGTAGCACTCCTTGAATGCTTGTGAGTTGATTAACTCTCAACCCCAGAGAGAGTATTCTGGAGGCTGAGAAGTGGCTTATATAAAGCTGGCTTAAACATCAAACATGTTGGACATCAATGAAATAGGATTTTCAATCTGATTTAGGGTTTTTACTCATTTTGCCTTCAGCTCCTTGAAGAAATTGATCATATCAATGTGTTGTGAAACTTTTTACCCACTCTGATCCTTCTGCTTGATGTGAGCTAAAAGTTTTCAATTCCCTATCCATACCCCACCCCTTATTAGTCACAGACTTTTTATTATTGTAGTTTATTGCAGGGAAAGGCAGAACTAAGGATCACTTAGTAACATACCACATTTTGGGGGTCCAGTTTAATATACTCTGCCCTGATTTGCCATCTGTAGTCACAGTGTGGACAGGTAAGGATCATGTGAGAGGAAAGAAATTATCAGACTACAGACATTTACACCATTCAGATGCTGCTCTGTTTGAACCCATGGGACAACTATCTCATGAATGGCCCCTTGTGTTCTGGCCCCAAAGAGAATTATTATTCATTTAGTAGCCTTGACTATATTTTGTGTACTTCTTACTTAAATTCCCTTTTTTTTTAGGCCAAGCTCTATCTAAGTATCATTTCTTTTGTGATGGTGGATTTTCAAACACGGAAGAACCACGTGAGAGGAGATGACTGCTCCAAACAAGTTACCTGAAAAGCCATTTGACAAAGGAAGATTCTGTAGCTGTTTTGGAAAAGTTAAACATACAGTATTTTTCCTGATTTTTTCCCCTCTTTTAGTCCATCATTCTTTCCTCACACTGACAACTAAAGTGGTAAGATGTGCTCTGCTTACACGTTAGTAAATGCACTCTCCCAAAAGCCCCACCACTGTTCATTTCTCAGGGACCACAACCCCTCCTCTCCCATGCCAGCCCCTGTTCCCTAACGATGAGGAGGAGGCAAGGCTGAGAGCTCTGCTGCCATGGTTTTGTAGGCTGTGGATCTCCAGAGATGGTCAGTAGCAGAGTGACCATGTTTAAATTCAACTCCAACAACAAAGCACGTTACTTATGGTTTAAACCGTATTCAAATTAAGTTCCAAGTTCAAAGATGAGGACCAACAGTCAGGAAGGATTGGTGCTAAGCCTCATCTAAGGGTAGAAGGGTTGTTCTCTCTCTCTAAACAGACCAGCATTTCCATGACAGTGTGAAATAGAACAGTTGCAGCTGAATGTCCAAGCCAGTCCTTTGGCTTTTCATGTGTGCCCCTTGGGCTCCAGTCACCCACATGCTCATCAGGAGTGAGATTGCTTTTTGCTGCTTTTTGTCCTTGACCTAAAGCGGTCCATACCAGATGCATTCCTACCCTACTTGCTATCACTGATCTGAAAATGTCAAGGAAATAAACAAACAAGGTGGATACTCTCCAAAAGGGTAAAAATGGATACAGAGAGGAAACAGATGTCCACATCAAGCTGCATCCATTCAGAGGTCCTCAGAATGGCCCACTTCTCCAAGGTAATGCAATAGAAGGTCAGCGCCCCTGCTCATCTCCCCCTCTGGAAAGAGGAGCAGGCAGGGGGTCACCATCTCACCACCTGGCTGTTGTAGTCCTCAGTGACAGTCCCCTCTGAGGCTCCATCTTCTTTGGGCCACCGGTGGGTTCTGTGCTCCCGCTGTAGCCTCCGTTCCTCCCGCCGCTTCTGGCGGTCCCTCTGGTGCTCCAGCTGCTTGGTGTGGTGGTAGCGCTGCTGGAAGAGATCTTTCGCATAGTCGTAAAGCTGCATGTCCAGGAAGTTCAGCTCCTCAATGCGCTGGCGGGCGCCCTCATTGATCTCCACATTGGAAGCCCGCGTGATGTTGAACTGAGTGAAGGGGGAGATGAACTTCAGGTTGAATGTCCTCTCAAAGAGAAACTGTGTCTTCCTCTGGAACTCAGTGAGCCCAAAGAAGGCCATGTTCTTTAGGTTGTTCTTTGCACTCTGCAACAGGATGGTGTTTCTCTCACTCTCGTTCATGAAAGTCAAGTTGTAGCAGCCCACCAGGCTGAGGTCAGCCAGCATGCGCACCTGCCGGTTGTTAGCCAGGTTGTAGCTGCAGTCCATAAACTCCCGCAAGCTCACCCCAGACCAGTCATCCCCAGGGTAGCAGGTGGGCAGCTCATCAGGGGTGGGGCTTCTTCCATCACACATATGGAGAGAGGTTTTCCACGTGGCCCCTCGCTGGACGTGTTTCCACTCGCTCAGGTACCTTGACACTGGATCCCGCAACATTGTGATGTAATAGAAATTCCTGGAAGAAATAGAGGAAGAGCAGTTGGTAATTCAAACACTGAGATTCTGAACCTTTGTGATTTCTATATCAATGCTCAGTTAATGTTCCTTCTGCCAAATGCTCAAGGTAGATCACTTGCCTGGATTTGCACCTATCAGTGTATGTGCACTATTTTCATTAAGACATCAAAGTCAGTTTTCAATTATAAATTTCCAGCCTTTTTCTCCCCATTCAAGTGTGAAGAGGGATGGCATGGAAGGATTGGATCATTTGTTCATTTAGTAATTGTTCATTGGCAAATTACTAACGCCGAAGTCTGACATTTAGAGACAAAACCATGACTTTTAAGATTTATTATTCATTTGCCACTTTATTTGATCCTTATAAAAGTTTTGCACTAGATTGGGTTCTATCAAGGGGAAAAATGTAAGGAGATGAAATGATTTAGGTCATGGGACTAAAAAAAGCTGAAACCCAATTGTCCATCTTCTTTCTTTACTTTGTTACTGTGATTATGAGGTAGTGGGGTGAGGGAAGGATCAGCAGTCCACCCAACTTTGTCACCAGAAGTGTTGGAGCAAAGCCTGGAGGTCCATGTGTCACAAAGGCTATAGAAGGGACTTCACATAGGAGAGTGCTGGGACCTAGGCCTCCAAGATCTTTTTGCTGTAAGATTCCACTCCAGCCTTTGCCCATCCATAATTGAGGTTCACCTACTCCAGAAATATAGGCCCCCTCACATGAACTCAGAGATACCCTGGGAAGACAAAAGTGGTCCTAAAATACTTCGCAAAGAACAGCAGGTCTTCCCTGATCCCTCTACAAATGACTCAGTGCTATAGAGTCCTGGGACCACGGTGGTGCTGGGTGAGCCTGGTATGGCCTACAATGGCCTCCATGCTTAAAACAAAGCCATGTTTGCTTAATATCAGCTCTTTGAAGAAAGTTGGCACTAATGTAAATATGCACACAAATCGACAAGTAGGCTGAGAATCTGTTGAGGCATGATTTTTCCTGCATCATGCTCCTATTTGTCAAATGTTTCTGTTATCAAGCAGTTGTAGGTATTGCTTGCTGGGATCATCCCTATGTGTTGTAAAGCAGATATTTGCACTTGGAGATAAGTGGTGGTATGTCTGACTCTATACTTAAATCAAACAGTCTGAAGCCTTCTTGAAAAACTGAAAAAAACACAAAATCAGCCTGGGAAGTCACTCTGCCTACTTCAGTCTCATTGCACGCATCTCCACTTGGTGCTGGAGACAAGACCATCACGTCAGGTTAAACTTTAAGCTGAAGAGAGCTCCTGTGTCTCCACCCTCCAGATCATCTAAGTAAGAATATTTAATCATTGCTTTAAAAAGAAGGATGAAAAGAGAAGAGGAAGAAAACTATGTCTCCCTTTGGTGTGTTCAATAACAAAGTACGGATAGAGACAACAGGAAGCTCGATGGAGAAACTAAATCAAAGGAAATGAACACATCCTAATCCCGAGGAAGGGAGCCTGGGAGGTCTAGTGAGTACATGAGGAGAGGGTAAATTGTTGAAAGCTCATACTATATTTAATGGAGACATTTTACTCAAGTTTTCTGACTAATCACCCCTGTACCACTCACAAAAAGTACTTTTTGAGTTTGGGGATAAAATTTTTCTAATTTTGATGAAAGTTCTATTTCAATAAAGCCAAAGTACTTTAATGCCAAATATTTTCCCCATAGGCCAGCACCAAAGACCTAAGATGTTCCAACTTGATAAATCTCGGGCATTGTGCTAATGTTATGGTCCATTTCAATATCCCTAGGAGGTAAGTGCACATCATTCTGTTTTAAACTTAGTAGCAAATGAACTAAGAATTTGAGCAGATGACATAAGCTACCCAAAGTTACCTTGGTAATAAATTTCAGACCTTGGGTTTTATTCTCTCTCTCTCTCTCTCTCTCTCTCTCTTTCTCTCTCTCTCTCTCTCTCTCTCTCTCTCTCTCTCTCTCTCTCTCTACTTTCTTTCTCTGTCATCATGAAATGTTTCATTTCGTATGAAATACCCTATCACTTGTTCTATTTGGCCAAGCTAAACTGGATAAAAAAAAAGTACATGTCCAAACACATGTTTCTGTTTTTTAAAAGCTTGAGTATTGGGGGCTGGGGATTTAGCTCAGCGGCATAAGCGCCTGCCTTGCAAGCAGGCAGTTGTGAGTTCGATCCCTGGTACCGATAAAAACGAAAAAGTAAAAAAAAAAAAAAAAAAAAAAAAAAAGCTTGAGTATTTAAAACTATTCCTTTTTCTATATTTGATTACTTTGAATAGATCACCTTATTACTAGGTAAGTCAGTCTGTTTTGAAATGAGCTAAAGAAATGAATGTCTTAAATAACACTCACTTTTTTTTTAAATTGTGGGGAAGAATTTATTGAAACTACTAAGGACAGACCAGCCTGAGCCCTGGCTTTTGCTAATTACCATCTTACATTACTCATTTGTCTTTTCTAGTGATGAAATAACTTCTATCATTGGAAGAAAATGTCCAAAAGGCTGGTAGGAAAAGCAGAAAAAGGCTACTGTAGCTTCTGGGCTCCATGAGGAAACCCTGGCGATAAAGTTTTGCTCTGAATAAATACCACTATTTTGAACATAAGATGATGTGCCAGCATCAATCTTGCTTTAGCTCTAGATGTGCTCACATTTCAATTCCAGCAACAGATACAGACTTTTATTTCACAAAACAATTGGTCAGTAAATATGTAAACAGAGTAATGATGGTGACACAAAGCAGTGGATTAAGGATGTCAAAGACATCAGGACCAAAGAATTTAAGTCAGAAGGATCTTTGAATTGAGTCAAAGTAGATCACAAATAAAAAATTTCTAATTTCCCTGTAACTATCCAAAACAGAAATCCTACAAAAGTATTTACACAACAAAAAGCCATTCAATCTATTTATAAGTCTCAATCTTGTTTATGACTCTCAAATATTATATGGTCAAGATTTTTAAAATAATCATAAGAGCTGCAGGCCCTTAGAATTGTGAATTATGAAGACTGGAGACATAAACCTTTAACTGAAGATCGCTGGAATATGAAAAATTTTTTGCCTGTCTTGGGATCATTGGTCATTGGTTTTCAGATGACTTTGTTCCTTTGGGGGAGCTATATTATCTTCAAGCTAAATGATACAGAATTAGGCTTGAAATGATCTTGGATTCAAATTTAACTTTATTTAGTTTAATACTGCATATAACAATGCATAGCAAAAACTCAAGGAAGATATTCAACATCAAGTTAGGAACTTTTGAATGAATAGATTGTACCCATTCTGCAACATTCCCCCAAAATCCTAACGTTAATGGATTACTCCTCAGCTTGGTGCAAATAGAAAGTCATGAAACTTTTCAGAGATGAAGCCTAGTGAGAAGAAGCTAGGTCTTTGGAGACATGCCTTGGGAAGAGACAAGTGGTCCAGACCATTTCCTGTCTCACTCTTTTTCTCTTCCTGGCCACTATGAATAATGTATTATCTCACTAGGAACCTAGAATAAACAGTGTCAAGTGATCACAGACTGAAACTCTGAAACTATTAACCAAAATAAACATTTCCTCTTTAGAAGTTCCTTATCTCAGATATTTTCTCACAGTGGCAGAAAGCTGACTATATGCTTCCCCAAGGAAAAACAATGGAAATTCATTTTCTTCTGTTTGAATAACTCCCAATTCAACTTTGCATGAAAGCACTTAAAGGCTTCAGTATTACTGAAATTTGCAGCTTTTATGTTTTAGGCCTCACTTGTTCAATGGCACAATGGGATAAGAAAATCAGTTTTCAAATGGTAAAGTAAAGAAGGACAATCAACTCAGATGTTGTGGTAGCCCTAATACAAAGCTATTCACTGACTTCTGTTTCTTTAACTCAATTTCTTAAGACAGATTATCACTTGCTTATATATTTATCCTGATAATTCATCCAAACTCTTCTCAGACTTTGGAAAGATAAGTAAATCTAATGCTCCTTATTTTATTTATTCATTCATTCATAACACTCTAAATATTAATTGATCCCCTCTATTTAGCAAGCTCTGACGTTAATCACGGAGGACACAGAAATTAATGAGAGAATCCTCAAGACATCTTGGGTACCCAAAGGTTTTGAAAAAGTAAAAGAAATGCTAACTACTAAGTCCAGGGAAAGTTCTGCCAATGCCTTTGAACCAGAACAATCCTTAAGACAGATGACTTTGTCTCCGTGACAGCATCCTCCACACAGATTTTTCATTTACCACTTCATCAAAATCTTAGATGAATTCATTTAAGAAAGTCTAACTCTAAAGTGATTGAAGATCTTTAGAATTGTCTTTTGGGGCCACAAGGTAAGTGTGGCAATTATTGGGGTGGTAAGAAAGATGAGGGAGCTCAGTGTTGTGTTACCCCAATAATTATTTTAAGTACTCATTATCCTCTGGGCCAGCATGGCTTAATGAAGTTCAAAGACATGGAACATTCCTTTTCCATAGCTGGTTTAGTATGTTGCTGTGCTTTAACTTAATCACATGAAGGAATTCAAAACACAACACAGAGCATGCTGCCTTCTCTCACTATGAAAGTCCGTGGCTTTCCCTTTGCTCACTTATGGCCAGTTCATCTTTCCTGGCCCAGCTCAAGGCTTGTGTCCACCTCCCCAGACTTTTTAGTCTATAGCGTTTCCCCATCATGGACGGTACTTTTAACTTGTATGTAAAAGTCTTGGTCACGTTGAAGATATCAGGTTCCTTTTTGATATGCATACCTTGGACCTTGGGTCCCATAACAGCTAACACCAAGTCCTGCTTATAGCAAATATTCAAAAAATGATTGTTGATAAAAGAAATGACTTCATGAAATAAATACATATTAATAATTAAGGTGAATTGGTTTGATATATATGATTATATCTTTGTTATTAAAAATAATTTGATGTTATTTGCAATGCTTAACATGTTTTCACAGAGTAAAAATGATAGAAAATCTCCTAAGGTTATCTAGCATTTATT